ACCTGCAATGTCCACAAAATCTCCACCGCTGGCATATCAACAGCCTTCAAAATCGCTTACACATAGCCACAGCCTCAGCCACAGCCTCCCGGTCTCCGCAGCTGCGCCTCAGTGGCAGCCGGCCGCGGCCGCTGCAGTTTACGATAATTGCCGGTGAATGCCGTGCAGAGGCGGGCGGCGGCTAGTCCGAGAGGTACCATGGACGACAGGCCGGTCGCACAGACGGCGGATTACCATCTCAAAGCGGCCGTATAAACTCGGCATACACTGGCGGATGGCCAGATGGCCGGCCGGCCGGACAGAGCGGTCGACTCAGGTCGGGACGGCGACCGAACGGTGTCGCCACTTCCCCCGAGTTCTCACGGGGATATACCAGTTTATGGCGTCATTGAGCGACTCACAACACTGTGCTGGATGTGTGAGGGGCAGTCATAAGCGCAGACTCGGGCAATCTGTGCGCAGATGAGGGCTATTACGGTCGGTGCCGCCAGCTGGAGAGCGCGCGAGCATCGAGCGAAACGCGGGCCGAAATGGGTACGTATTATTTAGGCCAGGGTTCATAATGTCCAGGGCACAATGTGTCCAATGCTCGAATTGGCCAGTGCCTTGAATTGGCCAGTGTTCACATTGTCCAGGGATTACATGGTCCAAAAGTGGCCAACTGGCTGCAGATAGGGTAAATTCAAAGAGGCCAGGGCTCATAATGTCCAGGCACGATGTGTCCAGTGTTCAAAATGGCCAGGGTTCATAATGTCCAGGGCACGATGTGTCCAGTGTTCGAAATGGCCAGGGCTCATAATGTCCAGGGCACGATGTGTCCAGTGTTCAAAATGGCCAGTGCCTTGAATGGGCCAGAGTTCATAGTGTCCAGGGATTACATAGTCAACCCAACCCAACCCAACCAAACCTAACCTAACCTAACCTAACCTAACCTAACCTAACCTAACCTAACCTAACCTAACCTAACCTAACCTAACCTAACCTAACCTAACCTAACCTAACCTAACCTAACCTAACCTAACCTAACCTGCCAGATACATAACCACTTAACCTAAAAATATTTGATTTACTATTGCCTGTAATCTCTCCTAAGGCATTGCCTTCGGCACTGCACTGCTTTGCATTGAGCTGATTCCGTGTTTTTTACATAATGACGTCACTTTCAGTGACTATGTAATCCCTGGACATTATGAACTCTGGCCCATTCAAGGCACTGGCCATTTTGAACACTGGACACATCGTGCCCTGGACATTATGAACCCTGGCCATTTCGAATACTGGACACATCGTGCCCTGGACATTATGAACCCTGGCCATTTTGAACACTGGACACATCGTGCCCTGGACATTATGAACCCTGGCCTCTTTGAATATACCCTATCTGCAGCCAGTTGGCCACATTTGGACCATGCAATCCCTGGACATTATGAACTCTGGCCCATTCAAGGCACTGGCCATTTTGACACTGGGCATAGCGTACCCTGGACATTATGAACCCTGGCCAGAATGAATGCTCCCCGGCCGAAATGGCGAGGAGAGCCAGCGCGTTACCACGCAGCAGCTCGACTAATCTGCAGTCGCTGCACCGAGATGCGCTCATCGATCATAAAAATCCTTGAGGCTGTCCGTGGGCCCCGCCTCCCATATTTAGTCCGTAAAAACCGGCCTGGAATTTCCGTAGTTTGCTCGCAGTTCCACTCTGACTCGCCGGCCGCGTGTTACCCGGCTTGCTCGCGCGGCGGCGTTGTTTTTGACGTGACCAGCGGTGGCCGACCCTCAGAGCCACAATCATTAGCGGACGAGTTGTTATCCCCTGCGCCGCCGCCGCTGCCGCCGCCGCCGCGACCACCCGACGAAAACATAAATACCGGCCGATGAATCAAGCCGGCCTGCCCCGCGTCGGACCCCGGTGCTTCGCGGAAGGCCGTTACGCCCGTAATGGTGCGCGCGCTGTGTTCGCGGCACACCGCGCGTCATCAGCCGAGGTCAGGTAGACAATTTCCGCCGTGACCCCGCGCTCCGGCGTGACCCGACTGCCGGTGACGTCAGCCCTCGTGTCCCCTTCCCCTCCCCTCCCCGCGCGCACCCGCGCAGCGCGTGAAGCCACCGCACCGGCGTCGATCCGAAATCGATTAAAATTCGCGCCGGCCGAAAGCCTGGGAACCGCGCGAGGCGGGCGTGCACGTAATTAAATCGCCCCAGACCACTAATCGTGCCGAAAGAGGGCGCAGCGCTCCATTTGGCCTCGACCAAATACGCAAACAGTTACACTTTCCCATGCAAATACGCCTAATGACGGGTGCGTCTGCGGCGGTCCCGCCGCATGGCACCGAGGTTGATGCACCGAAAAGCGGTAATCACGTGAGAAGTCGCCGCAGAGGGTGACGTCATCGTACGGGGCCGGCCAGGCGCTCTGCGTCCGTTCTCACAGTTCGGGACGGCCCGTTGCTCCAATAAATTACACCTGTGCGCATATGCAGAGCAGAAAATGGCGTTTTCCGCGGACAGAGCCGGCCATCATCGCGTGGCACGGTGACGGCGGACTCCCATGGAGCGGACTGGCGTCTCTCTGCGCAACGACCCGCGACGGGCGACACCTGGAGCCACGGAGAGCAGTCACTCGGGTCTACCAGTCGCGGCTGACACAGGGGTCCACAGGACCAGCGACACTGGGCGACACCCGTGGGTTCGCATGAGAGGAGAAACCGCGACCCAGCGCACCTGTCGATCCGGATGGCCGACCGTCTAATGTGGCGGAATGATCGGTTTGGGACGGAGCTCTGTCCAGACCGAGATCGGACCCGGCATCCTGGTGATGATCCTATAGATACAGCTTCACTCGATAACGGTTCGCCAACTGAATGCAGTGTTCGGTTTAAATAGGCGAAGTAAACCGCGACGAGCGTACGGCTACCAGTCTATGCGGTGAAACCAGCTATCGGGCAGTGCGCTGGAGCTTGTCGAAACTTCAACATTTCGAAGTCCTTGAATAATGAGATTCATTAGAGAAAACGCAGTTCTAAGTTTCGGACCGTTTTATGGGCAAGAGCATCTTTGCTTTTCCGTGTTTTCGTTTTACGATGCAGAGAACGACGCAAGTGCGCTTTGAAAATGTTAAAACCATCCTGGACATGGTTTCAACAAGATCGTTACCTTTCGATAACGATCGCAGAAGCCATATAATCGAGTTTTATTCATCGCATTGGCTGCTTGAAACTCATCGCACCTTCCTAACTGCACTTTATGCTCAACCGTTACTCATTTTCGCTCTAAAACACAATTATAGAGCCGACATGGGCATGTGGAACACGCGGCCGGGTCCTGCGGGCCGGTCAGACCCGGCCACTCTCAGCTCCACCCATGAGCGGTGGCTGGCGGGGTGCTAAAGCGGCTCGCGCTGTCGGCACTGTGCAGCGCCGGCCGCGCCGCTGAGATACCGCCCCTGTTCCGGCGCACCGGGATAAGATCGGCGCTGGACGGTCCCGATGACCGTAGCGGGCCCCGCCGGCCGCCAGCGTGGACAGATGTCGCCTGCTTTACAGCCGGCGACCCCGCTCAGCCAGGTCGTCTCATAAAACACGACAGGCCGGCCGGGGTGAGCGCACGGACCCGTGAACCGAGAGTGCAGCAGCCGCCGCTCAGATAAACGCGACTTTTGCAGACATCCGAGTGTACCGGGTCCGTGCTCGCTCTTCATGAAATTGCGCGGCCGGCTGCTTTGCATCGGATGTGCATTCCGATTTGGAGTTTGGTCTGTTTCGGGTTATGGAACAGTGTACGTACGGCAGCTGCGGCAGAGGACGGATGTCACCTCTGTGTTGAGCGGGGGCAGCTGAGGCGCCCTTTACGGCCTCTTTGCGCTGTCGCAGCGACGGGGGGTGACCAGCCCCGAACTGCCCCAGTAGCCTCGGCGGTGGCGGCGCAGGGGCGGCCATTGTGCCGCCGCCGCAGTCGCCACACCAGCGTCGCGTTGGCCGCAGTGCACCGTAACTCAGGCTTTACGCCGTGCACGGCGATAAAATCTGCAGCTCTAACGGCGACCCGATGACAACAATCAAACGGGCTCAATATAATCGGGCGCCATTATCTATTGAGGAGCGACGCGAACAAAATGGTTTTAATTTTCATGCCGCCTTGCCGGCATCAATTACATTTACAGTTGGTGTTTGCAGCGCGGCGCGGCGCTGGTGGCGCGCCAGAGACGGCGGCGCAGCGGGCGGCACCGGCGCCGGCGCGCGCAACTCACCCTCTCTGCCATGGGAACCATCCGGTCCTCCCAGCTCCCGCTGGTTCCATTGGCACACGGGAATTGTGCCGATAGAATATACGGGCGCATCCGAGCGGCTATTTCGGCCGTCCATACCCGGTGGCCACACTCCATCTCTGCGGCCACGTCCGGCAGTCGATAGAGAGAATTTCGGCCCGTCTTTAGAGGCCCTAATCCTCAGAGATATCGCCCGGCCGGCGCGGCCCGATAAGCTAAGCCAATCGGACATAATCACAAAAGGCTGCCTCGTGCACTATCGATTCATCAGTTGCAAATCAGATGACGTGCATCTCTCTCCAGCGGAGAGATGGCGAGATAAAGACCCCAAATCCAATTGCCTTTGACTCATACCGCCTGATAAGCCCACACATACAACTGTGTTCGACAACATTGCCGCCACCATAGACAGCTACTGTATTCATTTCTAATGTAAATGACCTCAAGTAGGATTCAATAAGATTAGTCGTGACACGTATCTGAAGTCATCATTTCAACACGCTAAGTCATGAGCCAATTTATCTGCAGCTTACTCTAAAAGAACATATAAAGCTCGTAATCATTAGCGCCGATCAACATGAGGAAGCCACTGGAAACATTGCTCCGACCACGCAATCGCAGCATCTGCATGACCTAACGCTTATATCACATGTCCCGTGCATGTAAACTCCGTTCCTCTCGGCCCCGTGCTGACGTCACGCCCGCGCTGACGTCACGGGGGGTACTGAGCGCTCACCTGTCCGTCGTCCATGGTGTGGATCGGGTTGGGGATGACGATCGCTTCCTGGGCGTCCGCTAGCATGTGTCCGGCACGCATCAGTACTGTCTCGGGCCGGGACATGTAGCGAGACGTGTCGTACATATGAGCGTTGGCCGCCTGAGGGTACAGACACAGTGACATGGGGTCAGTGGGACGATCATGGCAATCTGTCTAGAGAAGAGAACAACACAAGACAGAGCAAAAATGAAGAGGTGAAGGTGTTGGGTACGCGTGTAACATACAAAGAATGTGCAAAAATTGAAGATGTGAGAATCAGGGGACGGATAAACGCGGGTACGGCCCGTAGGCCATAGCGGTGAGAGTGCTATATGTCACAGAGCTTCTGACAGACATCTCCGGCCACCACAATCGTGTTTCGAATTTCGATTGACACACGAACCATGTTCTGACTACGCGTCAAGCATAGCAAATCATCAGCCATTAGGTCCGATGCATGAGTTCCCCTGTACGGAGCAGCAAGACATGCATTGGACATTTGATGGACCCGAAAGGACGAGACGAACACGGGATTATGTGGACATTAATTCTCTGGGAAGTGATCGAGCGTCTGTTCCCTGGAGGCTTGGAGACGGAATCCGCGTTTACGACGGTCACATCGAGCATTTTTGTCTTTCAAATTAGCTATTTAACGGTAAACGAGAACTCTAACCACCATTTAAATTCCACGTGTAATGTAAGACCCAAAATGTTATCGCTGCCATCACAACAGTGTACTAGGCATTACAGTTGCATGCTTCACATCATCAGCGTTCTTCTCGTCCCACTATCTTCGCCATGGCACTTCCCGACCCTCTCCAGGGTCTTCAGCTTGTTTCATCGACATCAAGCACCCGTGGCTACTTCATTCCACGTCTTTCCTGTCCCCTGTCCGTCCCACCATGCCTCCCATCCCATCCGTCCCTTTAATCCCACCTGCTCCCCCATTCCGCCCCGTCTAGCCCGTCCCGTCGAGCCCGTCCCATCCATTCCTTCCATCCAACTGCCGGCGGCAGGGACACGAGTCCGTAGTACGCTATCCACCGCCGCCCCGGGCCGGCACTCGACGCGGCCCAGTCGTCCGAGCTGTCCCCCGCGGCGCGACGGCGGCACGTGCAGACAGTCGGCCGCCGGGGCCGCCGTCGGCTCCGACACAGCCGGTCGTCGACAGGTGGCCGGCCGCGCCCCCGGGGAGGAGGTGCTGGCTGCTCGCAGGCCCAGACAGACCGGCGGCTGTTTGGGTTTGCTAGTCGCGCGCTTGAGATTAACTTGTTGTCTTGGCTAATGCACTGTTTAAGGATGCACTGTTGCGACTTTAGATAGGCCGATAAGCAGCGATTTCACTAAAAAGCTCATGTCTGAGGTTTGTGGTCCGAGCGTTTCCTCTTTGCACGAGTTACAGATGTAATCCCATTCACAGTTCATCCCACGTCGCTCCATTTCAATGCACCCAGCTACTCAGATCCGGTTACAAATGACCTGAACATCCCCACTCGTGATCAGCAGAGCTCCTGTCCCAGATGCGACGGACATCCCGGCCGTATTTTATGCATCGAAATCCCCGAGTTCCGCCTGCATGTTTTACTGGACATATGCTCGGACACGACGCCACCGTGCCTGCGCCATTCCTGCGGGCCGGTTAGCCAACACGGGAATTCCGTGACGACAGGCGCTCCTCGCACAACCCGTTTGGCAGCCTTATTCCTCGAAAAGTCGGATCCAGCCATTAGGAAGCGCGCGCGCGCGCGCGCCGCACTTAGGATTACACCATGTTCAGTACTCCCAAGTGTCTCGCTGCTGAGCCGGAGTCATGTTTAACATCGGCTCACGCTGCTCACGAACGGCAGCGACTGCCAATCGTGATCGCCGCCTGGCCATCCGTCAGCCGGTGACGGCACGTCGGTAAACACGCCGGGCGCACTGCCGGTGACTGCGGCGCCCTCGAGGGGCCATTGTCCCCATGGAGACGGCTCAGACTCGGCAGCGGTAATGACATGCGCATAGGAGACAGACAGGTGACGGCGGGCGGGCGCCACTACATGGTACCTCGTGACATTGACAGCCGCCGCACCGCTCCGAGATGGTACGCCACCAGACGAACTTTCCAGAACGGTGCCCACTCCGGCTCAAACCAAACCGGTCAGCGTCGTTCTCTGACTTGCAGCTCATGAGGAACCATGGATTTATCATTTTCCCATAATCTATAATCGAACGTCTGTGAAGAATGATTGTCAAACATTCAAGCCTTCCGATTCATGGTTCCTGTTATTTTCACAATAGTCATTCAGACGTTTCCAAACAGCTCGGCTCTCGAGTTCATTTTCGGCCGAGCTCGTCTGTCGCCGCTGTGAGGCCGCGCTGACAGGCGGCCCGGGTCGGCTGTCGGGGTCGCTCTGACGGCCGTCTCCGGCAGCCCATTCAGCTGTTGTGACGGTGACCCGACGGCTGACCTCTGCCCTGTCGGCCGGGCGGCGGCGCTTTTTACCCAGTCGGCTTACATAATGTCAGCGGCTGCCGAGGGCCGGCCCCGGAGGCACCCACGAGCCCGCCGAACGGGGCCAGTGAGGCGGGCGCCGCCGGCGAGGCTGTCCGTTGACAACAGCGATACATCCAACCGCAGACGAATGAGAGTGAACTGACGTGTTTTTAGCCAGCGATATCAAGGTGACAAACGAACTCGTTTTCAGTTTGTAAAAACTACTCCGCACTATTGATTTAAACAATAAAAGTATCTCAGCTGGAGTATTTCTTATCTCCAATTCATGTTTTTCCACGTTGAACGGAAGTCGCCATCAGTCTCCGGACCTGATATGGGATCTGGTCCTGCTCCTACCATCTCCGAACACCGCCGAGCACGGCCTCCAGTGTAACAGCTCTTATCCTAGCCTCCCATCCCAGAGGACTAATTGGCCGCGTTTTTGTGTCGGCCTGGTCCTGTCCGATCGACTCGGCGTCTTTCCACTGTCTCCGAACACCCCACTAACGCCGCACCTCCTACCATATTCGTCGGTCTGCCGGCTTTACATCGGGCTCTGCAACTCGCCTATATTTGCTTGTGTCGCTCGGCCCACCGCAATGCTATTGTAGTTATTTGGCCGGCTGTGCAAATAGTCCAATTGCTGCGCGAGTATTTCTCCGGTGCTACTCCGGGGTCGAGCGCGTTCAACGACCACCGCCTGCGAGCGTCCAGTCACCCGTTCAAACAGTGCAACGGTGCAGTGCGATGGGCAAACGGTCGTTGGGAGTTGGATGGTTGAGAGGTTGAGGGTTGGGAGTTTGAGGGCTGGGCGCTGGACGGCTTGGAGTTGGACGGTACGGGAGTTGGACGGTACGGGAGTTAGACGGCTGGAGGCTGGGCAGTAAAATGGGCTGGAACGGCCGAGAGTTTGATGGTAAGGGCTGGATGGTTCAGAGTTGGACGGTGGGTGGCTGGACCATCAAGAAGCTGGACTCTCAGATGGCAGGGTGGTCGTTAATGGTTGGATGGGTTGGATCGGGTGGTTGGTGGTCAGGGTTGAACCAAGGACGACACAACTATGGACGATCGGGCGGCAGGACGGCAGGACGAAAGGTCAGGCCACCCGAGACCGGATGACCAAATGGTTTATAATTATAGCATAACCACGTGGTGCGGTCGGTCGTTTATCAGCTCCGAGAAGTGTTCTGACTCAGGATAATGAAGCCGCTGGTGGTGCATTTTGCGTGAGGCATGCCAATCAAGAGCTCGTAAAATGTGTCATACCGAGCTCGCGGTATGTAGGTATGACAGAACAGCGACGGCAGACGTTCGGGCGCTGGGTTACCGGTAAAGGGAGAAATTAGGGGCCGATTCATTCCTCTGGAACTCGGCGGTGAGGTATTTCCGTCCATATCCACCGTGTCAGTTTTGTGACAATTTAGTCGGCCGTTAATAAAGGTAGGAAATGAGCTATGCGCGAGAACCTATTTCTTAGGCTGCCTTTTGAGGGAAACGGAAGCCGTCAGGTAAGCGATATAAGATATGAAACACATTCACAAGTTACGCAATTAAGGAAATACAAAGTATCAACCCGAGAAACATAAATGGATTGCTCGAGAGGAAAACGATGAAAATAACATTACTGTACTTAAAAACAAATGGCAATACCTTGCCTCAACTCGACAGGGGGAATAAGGTAAGCAGAAGAGGCTGCGATATTAGTCGTCTCAGTAATGTTTCTTACTCTCCGCAATTCATGATCGCATCTCGAGACTTGTAATCTTCCCAATTAAAATGTCACAAGAGTGCTTTCGCCTCGTACCATCTCATTTAGTCACATCGCTCATAGTTCAATTGGTAGTTGACCTATCCGAAAATTCCATAGCGGTAATTTCGATCGGGATGATCGCATCTATTGCGAGAAGAAGCGCGGATCTGATAAAACATCACTTATCAAACTGACTTTTTGCAAGATCGCTTCCCTCACGCGCTCTGTAAAACGGTCAGCCTGGGAGCTCCTAGTGGCATCAGGACACGTTTCTCGTGTCAAGGCCAGAGACGGATGTCCTCCATCCGAAACATGTTCAGAGTCACGTCCCCAAGCTGATGCAACTGCTCACACTCGCATCCCGCTTCTGGCGAGCGGCTTTTGTAAACAGCACGTGCTTTCTGACGAGTGAACAGATGGCAGAGAACAATGTTTGTGATGTCCGGACAGGTCTGCCGCAGCGTTTTTGACCCGCGCTCGGCAAAGAGTGATTTGCATTTGACAGACCTTGTGTTCGCTGACGTCTCGCGGTATCAATGGATGGGCGCTGTAACTGTTTGGGCGAGGTTTGCATTGTAACCAGAGATGGCTTGGATAGCCTTTGGTGTGTACGCCACACGAGGAACCGACCCCAAACAAATGGAGGTCCGTTATGCCACTCAGATCTTGCTCTTAACACAATGGCCGGGCACAAAGAACAGGTGGCTTGATTTATAATTTTTATTTATTGGCAGATGAGCATCTCAAGCTCAATTTTGGAGAGATGCAATGCATGTTTCTTTTCATTCTTATCATAACCGTGTGCACCGACCACTGTTATCGCTTACATCCAGTCTTACATCCGTATGTTCTACATCCCTTATCTCCATATATCTTCATGCACCCACCGTCCCCTACACCTCTTCCCTAGCCTCTCCCGAGGTACTCACGCTAACGGAGACGGAGTCGGGGTCGGTCCTGCGTCCGAGGGCCGCCGGGTAGCCCTGGTGTTGGAGACTGTTGCCCAGCTGATAGGCCACCTCGCTGGGGTTGACATGGTGCAGCTGAAACTGGTCGCTGGCGGTCGGGTTGTACGGCGGTGGGAAGTAGGGCGGCTGGAAGTCCGTCGATGGTGTGTGACTCAGCCGTCCGGTGCCGCTGAATGTCGGCGAGCCGGCCAGGGAGGTGATCGGTCCCATGCCGGACGGGTGCGACCCCACGCGCTCCTGCAACACACAGACGGGGAGACTTAGACGGCTGAAGGGCATGAGATGAGAGCGTGAAGAGTGAGCGCTGAGAGGCTACTCGACTTCATGGGCATAATCGGCCGATATGACGTTCTTTAGGCAGCATGGCATGTGCTTTGTTCTCGTGTCACTGGCAGACATGATGCATTGTTCGATATATCTACAAAGCAATGTCGCATTGCATCATTTCACAGAAGCAGACTAATGCAGCACGTAGGCACAAATACTCGGGACACTTCAGGCAACGAGCTTGTCATGAAGACAAAGTAGTCACCTGTTGGAAAAATCGCGCGTTCAGCTTTGACCGTGATCACGGTAGTTTTCTTTTGAAGTTTCAACTAATGAATCGAGTGGACGTGGGAAAGGCCGACGGGGCGGCGACACGTTCACGAAGCCGGGTCTCGGCACGGCGGTCAGTGGTCACCCTGCCGGCAGATTGGTACGTGCTGCCGCCGACACATTCCGGGTACTGGCCGCGCCGTAATCAGCGCCGCAGATAGACGACGATAGTGGCGCGTCATGCAAGACCGGCACGTGAGGGAAATGTCCGACCAGGCCGCCGACTGCCCCGCTCTACAAATGTGCCGCAGAGCTGCCCTGCTCTCCGGCCGGCCGGCGCCGTGACACAGCCGCGCTCGGCGCCAAAGGACCAGCCGCGCTGCAAGATATCCAGGCATGGCGTCATTCTCATTATAAAACGGAATAAATTAGAGCGAATAGTGGCTGGTGCGCGAATTCACGTCGTACAATTTGGACCGATATATAAGCATGAATGAGACAACGGCTTGCACTAGCATTCCTCCTACTGGAATATATTGGCTACTTTTATTACACGCCAAATTGCTTGCACGCGCATAATTCTGCAATGAGGCAAGGTTTTCTGTCGAGCTGAAGCCAGATATGGACCTAAGCAGCGCTCAGGTTGACATTCACCGCAATAGAAAGCGTCATAACTGACATGATTGAGCACATATAAATGGCCTGCACACGGTAAATGAACCATGGCCTCGGATGGGACGACCAGCATCTTCAATGAAGTCTCGAAAGGATGCACCCGTGCAACCGTTGCAACAGTTCACCTTCCCTCTAGTCATGGCTGGCTGAGCTGTTATTTCACGAAAGGAAATTACCATGACAAATAATGATGCTCTCTTAGTGACTGAAAACTGGTGATAAGCCCTTCTGTCTGCTGGAGCCAAGCCGCTTCAACGACTTCAACGCCGCTGACAATGTTTGTGTTTGGATTTGGAAAGGCACCGGGACTTTCCAAAAAGCAAGCCTCGTGAAGCGTAACAGACTTCACTGACGGAAAGACCGTCACTGGCTGAGTTGCACACTCTGAAGAATATTACCCTTGTCTGACCACCCGGCCGTTTCCCGGTACCGAGGTAACGCGGCGCTGTCACGAACCTCTGCGGATAGTCTGCGGCCGGTGGGGGTCGCGGCTGGACGGGAAGTGGAGGTCCCGAGGGCGAGGGGCGCCAACGGTCCGATGTTCGGGACCATGCTGACCACTGAGCCTGCATGCTGCTGTCGTCTTGCCTATCTTCTAATCCGGACCGACAAAGCGTTTCCAACGTATGTCCGAACTTAATAAACTTACTTACTTAACAACTTACTTATGCCCGAAAAGTCATACCCGTGCTTCAATTGATCGGCCACGGCTACGAAACTGGAATTCTGCCATGAAGTTACCCGTCTGCTGACTCTAGTAGCAACTCGTCAGCCACCGTGACCCGATGACGCGTCACAGCGGCACTCACCGTGACCTGATGACGTGTCGCCCAGATCCGGCATTGCCCAAAGCCTTACCTCAGCGCGGTCACGCGCCGTGCCCCAGTCTCACCACAGCCTAGCGAACACCAATCAGCCCCGCTCTCCGTGGGGAGAACGAGTTAAAGCGTAGCGCCGACAGTTTACCTGTTCCCATGTCCGAGCTGAAGACACCTGGGTATAACCGACGGCCGTCCTGCCTCGCGTCTGTCCGGCCCCTCGGCCGGTCGGACGGAATGGCGGGTAGATTACTGTTTACGACTCTGTGCATCGGTTGGTGAGCAGGCGAGGGGACCGTGCGGGCTGCCCCTCCACCTCACTGGGGGAAGGAAGGATAGATAGAGACGCGGCCATGACCGGCTGACTCGCACTCGAACCCATACGAACCGGTCAGAAGGCCGATCCGCCGCAATGCACCGCTACGTAGTTCGAACAGGTTCTCAGAGATTACTTACCCGGATTTATTTTGCTTACGTTATCCTCTACGACGTTATTCTGCGCTTCATTAAACATGCTCTGATCCTCCTGAACTCCCTTCATGGAACTGACTGCGAACGAACTCGTCGGAACACACTGTGCATCGCAAAGCATTTCTGAAACACTTTTGATCATGCATACATAATTACACGCCATAAGCACGAAACCGTACGAAGCCAGCTACTATGGATCCTATGTAAAGTCTGAGAGCGCCCAACATCTTCTGAGCCCGAGAGAGCTCAACATCTGTCACCTCTAGCAGTCTGATTCATACGTCCCTGTGACACTTCCCGAGCCACTGGGCTGTCCCCCGCGCACCGTCCGTCCGCCCCAGTCGCCCTCTCAGTCCGTCCGAGACCAGGCATGACGCGCTGATCAGATGGGGCCAGCGACCCGGCCGACACCGGCGTCAGAAATGTTTAAAATGTATGAGCTGCTCTCCGTGACGCTTGTCAGCGCTCATATCGGCCGCTGCCGGTCGAACGCGCAGGTTCCGGCGGCGCCGGTTTTACAGATCTGTGTAGAAAATGTCAGACTGCGACCCGACTGCGGCCTCTACAGGGCACCCCCTGACAGCGCTGTATGTGTGTTGAGGCTGCTGGAGGATGGTGCCACGGAGTTTGGACGAGTGATGAATAATTTGGATTTGAAAACTGGGTGGCGAAATATACTCCAGAGCACATTATGTTTATACACGTGCTTTCATAGCTGCTTGAGACAGCATTCACCTTATGCGTGAACGGCAGCTATGTATGTAGATTGTAGATGCTTCGCAAAAAATAATTATCGGACAATCTAAAGGGGTATGAATTCCCCTTTTCTAAGGAGATGCCAACTTTGTGACGACAAATGTCTTTCCATATTGTATGCACAGCCAACGTCCTTCGACGTCCAATATTCCGCGACACCCATGATCGCGGTCGCTGCGGGTCCGGGGTGCCCGGCTGTGTCCCAGCTCTCCGGTCCTCGTCAGAGCAGGGCGGAGCGGTGCGCGCGGCGGGGTGTCGTGGGGTCGCAGCGGGCTCCGCCATCCGCCGTGTTATCAGCGGCTCCTCGGCACGACAGGTGCGGCCCGAGCGAGCCGCCGCGGCGCCGCGGCCGGTCACATGGCCTGTCCGCTCGGCTCGGCTGGCCCGGTGAGGTGCGCTCCTCCGCCGAGCCGAGAGTCGAGAGCCGAGAGACTTTCATCCCGTATTCCAGGCGCGTCAGTATCAACAGATCGAAAACCAATCAATATGAAATCGCAGCTCATTAAATAGAGACAGGGACCGTGGGCCAGCGGGCGGCACCCCGCTGCGCCGGCCGGCCGCTAATCCCGGGCCCTCCGCGCCGGCCTTTTATAAATAACACCTCGGCGGACCCCCGCCCGGCCGATCGCCGGCATTCGCTCTACCAAGCATACATCAAATTTTCATTTACAGCCGCGTGTCGGCCGGTTATTTAGCGCAGTCGTGCAGCGATCCCGGCGGCCGCGCCGCGCGCGCTCCGGAGTCCGGGGCATCCGGCTCTCCTGACAGACAGCATGGACTCGGACCGCGCCGTACCGTCGCACTATGGGTCCGATGCAGGAATTAGCACGCCAAAAATGATAACTGCCCTTTAATGGCTGCTTTTACACCAGAAATGAAAGCCAGAACATCCGAAATGGATTTTGCGTGATTTCTAAACATGTAGGTACCGTATGACATGTGATATGTGACGTGTGTACCTATATAGTAGTGCTGGACGTTTTTATGTCAACCGTTTTCAGGTTGCAGGCTCTGGCCTCTGATAGACAAAATGTCAGCTGAGTCCAATTTTGGTTTCTTGACAGAAAGCCATCTTCATTGCGATGAGCGGCTATCCATTTTTCCTTTAACTTGTTAAGCAGCTTTCCCAGTGCTCGAATGTCATCAGTCGTCAATTGAACATTCAAAATACGAGCAATGCTAGCTGAAAAATCCTCTACTTGAGCCGGCCCTACACCATCTGGACTGGTCAAGACGATGTCAAGAATGGCTTTGTAAGCAATACACATTGCTTATCTGCCTGTTTTGCTAGTGATGGAACGACAAGAATATACCTACGTGCGCTCGCTACAATCGTCAAGCTCAGACTACCCCGGCCACGTGGGTACAGTGGGCCGGGCACGCGGTCAAACCGCCTGAGGGCCAGGTCGCCAGACTAGGACGACGGTGAAAACGGGTAATCAAGGTTCGTGAAATTCACACGTGACGTTTAGCATGTAGAAGGCCCACGAAGGGGGAGAAGCTCCAAATGTCACGTTACTAATGTGCCCTCCGGCGCCCTGTTTTCACCGGCGTCCCCACACTAGTGCCGGAATGTCCGGAATTCGGACCGCTAACCCGAAAGAACTGCCATTTTTTTTTGCAAAGCCATCAGTTATGAGTTTCTGTCATACATGTCTATAAAACATTAGTCGCATCCACTAATACCCTGTTTTTTGCCTTTGTGACCCTGCCGCAGCGCTCGCCGGTATGTCACAGCCGCAGCTAAGCGCAGTGACATCATTGAAAAAAGCTTCATAACTTGCTTCGTCGCAGGTGGACGCAGCTAAATGACCTTGTTTCTGGTCAGGCAAGTATTGGGGAGCAAGGTAACACCAAAAATACCGGGGGGCATTGGGGGGCATTTAGTATTGCTCTGTATTTGTAAGTCTCTTGAAGCATTGCACACACATCTATGACATGGATATTTAAATTAGCTGTGACAATAAAAAAGCAATGACA